ATGGCTCTAACCTGGAGCCACTTCGGCTGGGACACCCGCCCCCTCGCATGGGGCACAGGGGGCGAGCACCGGCCCGCCTGGGGGACAGGTCGCAGGCAGGGAGGCGGCAGGGGCAGCCCGCCAACCCCACGGGAGCTTCCGGCCGGGCGGCCCTCCAGGTGCCCGGATCGAGGCACGGGGGCGGCGGTGCGCTCAGGGGAGGGGCCCGGCTAGGAAAGAGTCAGTGTCCACCACCCCGACCGCCTCCTCAGCCACGAACCACGAGACTGTTATTTTAAATTATTTATTTCTTCTATCACACATTTCATTCAAGTCGTAAAACAGTCTAATACATTTTTTTCTCAAGTACAACTCCTGCTCATTTCATATGTTCTTTCTTCTCATAGGATGGACAGAAACATCCACACGTGGACCGACAGAAACGTCACTCAGCCGACTGAACTACAGCTTCGCGGGCCACCCTGAGCTCCTGTGGCGCCCGCCCACCCTCGCGGCAACCGCTGAGGACTCGGCCTCCCCCGCTGGAAGCAGCCTCGGGAAACCCGGGATAATTAAGTGTACAGAAATAGCTCTTCTATAAAATTTCCATATAAAAATAATGGCATTTATTTACAAAGTCGGAGATACTACAAAGTAACAGAACCGGTCAGGTACTTCAGCCTGCTGTGCCGTCGGCCTCTTCCTCGTCTCAACTGCTCAAAGCGCGTGGCAGCACGGCGCGGCCCTCGCGCAGCAAAACCCCGAGCTGTGCTTCTCTGGAAACACCTACCACCACCCGATCAGGGCGAAGCCTCTTCCCCGGGAGGCGCAGCACGGTGACCCGGCGCACAGGGCCCTGCCCGCCCCGAGCCCGAGGCTTGGTGGGGACGCGGGGAGCCGCCGCCGGCGCCCTGCATCTCAGCGAGCAAGGCCGAGCGCGGCCCTGAACTGCCGCACCCTGCCCAGCGGGGCCTTCCGCAGGAAAGCAGCTGGGTCCTCCGAGACCTTCTGGTACTAAAAGGCCCTTGACCCGTCTGAACAAGCACTTATGAGGCCCCTGTAACTAGGTGCCTGGCACGGTGACGCGCTGGGTGGCCACTGGCGAGTTTGGGGCAAAGAATGGGAAAATTATGGCTTTTACGGTCCGAACAGGATCTGGGGACGTCCCTGCAGGGCACTGACACACAGGTCGGGGCCACGCTCCTGCGCTCCGCCAGGCTCCCCCGGCCCTCGTCTCCCCCACCACGCCCACGGCCAACAGGGCTGCGGCCCGGGGGGAGCGCTTCCCAGCTGTGACCGTCTAAGCCGGGGTCCCGAGCCGAGGCCCGCAGCGGCTGACACGTGCTGGGCTGGGGAGAGGACGGACGGTGGGGAAGGCGCGGTTCGCAGAGGCCGCGAGGCCCTCACAGGAAGCGGCAGCCAGCGGCTCGGCGCGCTCTGCCGGAGGGGCCAGGCGGGCTTCCGCTCACACCTGCAGCCGGCGAGCCGGCAGACGCCCTCGCTCCCGGCCCGGGGGACAGGGAAGCCCCCGCCTCCGCTAGGCCGGCGCGCACCGCAGCGAGGCAGGGCACCGGCGGAGGCTCAGCTGCGCCCCCCGCTTCCCCCTTAGCATACTATGAGCGTAGATGTGTATGGGAACCCTGGATCCCACAGACTAAGCATCAACTTTCAGGGATATTTTGGCTATACAAAGGGGCTAATTCCTGAGAATGTTACGATTCATGTGGGCCTTGAGCCTGAAACATTTTGAAAAGGTAAAATCTCTTAAGTAGGTGTTTGGCTTGAGTGGAAGTTTACGAGAACACTGAGTGGGGCAGGAAGGCACACGTCTGAGGGTCACACAAACGCCACGGCAGGCTTCTGGCATCACGGGGTGGGGGCCGCTGCTCCGGGAGCAGGAAAGCGGGAGCTGAGGAGGCCGGCTCTCAGGGAGCCTAGTCTACAGTCTCACCAAAGCAGCCCACCTGCAGAATGATTATCTTCAGGGTATTTAACATAGGCCTTTATGTACCCAACAGCTTAGAGGATGTGTGGAAAGTTCTCCACTTTCAATTGCTTGGCTCCTGTGCTGGTTCAACTGAAAGGTAAAAAACCTTTTTTGGCGGGGAGGGGTTGCTTTTTGAGACAGGGTCTTGCTATGCAGTTCAGGCTGGCCTTGAGCTCACTTTGTAGCCCAGGCTGGTCTCAAGCTCACAACGATCCTCCTGCCTCAGCCTCCCGAGTGCTGGGATTACAGGCGTGCGCCACCACACCTGGCTCTGGAAGGTAAAAAAGCTGATAATGAAGACTCGGTGGGCCCATATTTTTGTTTTATGGGTATTACTGGTAGCTACATTTTTTTCCGAACCCTGCCCCATACCCAGCAGTTTTAAGGTGTATGTCACAGGTCACTGACTAGGGACAACCTGTTTTATTAGACAAGACAACTTGACATTGAAAGGCCTTTGAGTCATTCATAGAGCGGGTTTAGTAGTGCACCCTGTAATCCCAGCTATCCAGGAATCTGAGCCCAGGGTGGGCAACTTAGTGAGACTCTGTCTCAAAAGCGGGGGCAGGGGCCAGGGGACGGAACTCAGCCCAAAGGCTCCCGTTCAGTCCCTAGCACTGCACACCCCACATTTCTCTTGGCGTGGGCCTGGCAGAAAGAGCCAAAGTTGATCCTGTCACCTGCTAACTACCCCCCACACATGGAACAGACTCGGTGCCTGGGCCGTCCCTGGGCTTAAATCACATCATAGTTGGTGTAACTTTGATGTGTCTATTGCCCGAGAAGCTGGCAAGAATTTCGGTTTAGCAAACAGCCACATTAAAGGCGTCTGAGGACAGCACCTCGTGAATGATACGCAGCGGCCCTTCCCCCTTCAAGGACAAGAGGATCTGGCATTATTTCTCAAATAGGGCAGAGTACGGTTACAACTGCAAATCTGTTCATGGAAGGAGTTATTCTTTCATCCTGTAAAAAAAAGAAAAAAAGCTAGAGATTTATTTTATGGTCCTGGGGCCTGAACCAAAGGCCTTCACACTCAGCTATCACCCTCAGCCCAGCCCATTTTGTATTAGTTATTTTGAGAGAAGGTCTTAGTAAGTTGTCGTGCAAGGCCCAGACTTCTGCCCCTCCTGCCTCAGCCTCCAGGGAGCTGAGACGGCGGCCCGCACCAGAACACCCAGCCCTGCTGCTTCTTTAAGGAATCAAATTAAAGGGTGCCGAGCAGGCAGAGGCATCGCCAAGGCACAGGGTCACTGCAAGCCCTTTCCTGCGCAGAGGCCCCCTGCAGGGCTTTCCGTATCCGCAGCGTGTGCGGGTCGGGCGGGGCAGGGGGCTGGGTGAGGCGGTGCCGGGGGGCACTGGGGCTTGGCTTGGCCGCGCGGTTCTCCGTGAAGACTCTAGTGGCTCTGCCAAGGAGCTCGCCCCCGCCCCCCAGCTCTGCTGACTCGGGGACTCGGCATCGGCAGGAAAAACCCCTCGCAGGGCTGGCATGCGCGTCCCCAAGGAACTCGGTGTGCCACTAACTCAAGACGGCCCAAGTGCCGTGACTGCAGTGTCTCCGCTTTGACCCGTGTGAACTCGAGTCTCAGCGCGAACGCGGACCCAGGTGGGTGCGTGCATCAGACATACGAAGGGCAGAATCTATCTTTCCCAGCGTTTCCACCTAGCCTTTTCCAGGTAGGGTCTGAGACCAGCAGCCTGAGGCGGTGACCACATCTCTGAGCGGGATGTCCTCAGCCGTCACCTGAAGCTGCCCCTGGCAGCAGTGACTTCCTGCCAACGCCACACACTCACGGCAGGAGGGCCGTGGTTGGGAACCAACACTGGCCGGTCTTCGGTTGCCTTTTTTTAAAAAATGCCCATTTAAAGCACTAGAGCAACAGAGGGAGAAGACACAAGGGAACAGCTGCCCCGAACTCTATCAAAAATTCTGCTACTTACAGAAGTGGGTATGATTCATGCATCTGTCTTACATTCTGCAATGTATCTTGGGGGCTGTAGTTTAATATTCTGAACCAACCAACCAAAAAAAACAAGATTAGTGAAAGGGGCTGGGGATTTAGCTCAGCGGCACAGCGCCTGCCTGGCAAGTTCAATTCCTGGTATGGGGGCAGGGGGGGATATTCTGAAGACCAGAAAGGCAACCGTGGTTCGTGGCCTCTCCAGCTCCCTGCTGGGATCCCTTCAGGCAGACAGGAGAGACCTTAGGGCTGGTACAGGAGGTGGCAGCCCCTTCGGGGACCACGTGGCAGGAGAGAGAGCCCCTTTCACCCGACCTGCGCAGGCAGGAACAGCTGTCACAGGCTTGTGGCAGCTGCGGCCACCTCTGCAGCATTCCGGGCGCTTCCCGCTGAGCGTGAGAGAGGGGTGAGCTCTGACCTCGCCAGGACAGATTTCCGCACAACCTGCCGTGATCGCCCTGCCCCATGAGCATGCGCCAGCTTGGTTCTGCCGGAACGAGACTGCCTCCAAGGAGCCTACGCTGAAGTTGTGTGTTCTGTTAGTGTCTGCAGAGGGTCTAGGGAAAGCGTAAGCCTGCGGAAGCCCTCACCGCAGCTCCCGGGGCCTAGGGGAGGATTTAGAGAGGCTGCCCAGGGGGGGGAGGGAGGGAGCAGTGGGGGCCACACGCGGGGCTGGACCAGACACCAAATGCACGATCTCAGGACAACTCCCTACGACTCGAATCAAAGTCTTACAGTTCCTTCTTCTCTGAGTCTTTGCTCCCTTTTAAGGCCTTCATGTATAATTAAGTTGGGGTTTGGGCCTGGGGGCCCCTCCTGCCTTCAGAGAAGCAGCGATCACAGACGCCCCAGTGCAGTATTTCCAACAGCATCTTTGGCTACAAAATCGCACACTACACACCAACTACTGTGTATCCAACCAACCGGAGTGTTCAGTGTTCTTCCCAGAAAGAGCAAATGCTGGGTCAGTTTGAAAGGCGCTTTCCCCAAGAATAAATCTAATAAGGTCATTTGGATTAATTAAAATGTGGGGAAAAAAAGGTAGCATGTACAAGAAAACATTACCGTTCATATTCTTGAAATAGATTTTTCTTTCAAGACAAAAGTAATGACATTTGGTTCATTTTCACAAATTGCACACTGGGTAAAATCACACAATTACTGCGGAGCGCTGGAGGCGAGCGGCTTGGTCATAGGCATCTGCTTCGCTTCACTGTAAATGAGAAAGCTGTACGGAACGCAGAGCTCGGATTAAAACTACGGACACAGGTCCCTTCTCTGCAGAACTCCAGATTTAGAATGCCGGCAAAAGGCAGCGCTGGCAAATGTTAATGCACATGGAGATGCTATTTTGGCTTCCAGAAGTAGCCCTAGTAAACTCTATGCACCAATGCATTGGCTAATAGTGATCGTATCAGTTTTACTATAAATTATTCTAAGTGTCACTTAAGTACGTGAGAGTTAGCGCTCCCTCCTCTCTGAAGCTGTCTAAGGCAGCAGATGCGTAAAGCATCTCAACTCGACTTCCAAAAGCTGCGCGGTTCGTCTGCGCCCCTCACCCCGGAGCCCCCAAGGAGGACATCCGTTAACCTCTGCTGGTAAAGGCAGCCCAGGCGAGGGACGGAAGGAGGGAACAGCGGCGGTCTCCGTCCTCACGTGACTGCGTGGCCGCCAGGAAGCTAACCGAGCCTCATTCACGCTGCCGCTTCTTTGGGGATCGCGCCCTTCTACCCCTCAGAAACCAGACTGTGTGCGAGTGATCTACCGCTCTGCCGGGCAGGGCTTTCATGCGCGCTACGTCAACTTTCATCTCCATCCACTCGGCCTTCACGTGATTTGCTTACGGCGTTTCTCCGGTTCTCACTGAGCACACAGTGCAAACAAAGGCAAAGACTGAAGCAATCATTTCAAAAACGAGCTCACACTAAAAACACACATGAGCGTCAAACATGAAAACGTGACTTTTCTCCCGTCTTTATTCTGGAGAGGAGGAGTCCTCCTCGTCATCCTCCTCGTCTTCCTCGTTGAACGAGCAGGGGGTCTCGCCTCGGGACTCGGAGCAGTGGGAGGCCGCGCTGCTGGACTGCTGGCTGTTTGGGGCCAGGAGCTGCCCGGTTGCTAAGGCCACTTCAGCATCCAGGCACAACCCTTGGTGTACGCTGGCAAGCAGTTAGAGACACACAGGTTCATTAATGCGGCAGGGGCGACTTTGTAAAACACAAAGACAGGAAGGAGGCGCGGGCGGCAATACCCCAGGGCAGTGACGCGGCCCTGGCTCGGCCGCAGAGGCAAGGCTTGCGGTCTGCCTCTAACTGCGCAGAAACACCTACCTGGATTGGGGCAAGGTGGCACCGGAGGTCAAGTCTAAATTTGATGCGGACTGGGCGGAGTTCAAAAGTAGTCCCTGATTTAACCAAGCAGGTCCTGTGGAGATATCTGAGAGGGGGAGAGAGAGGGAATGAAGTAGGCTCTGTCTATTGCGTGGCTGCTGTTGTGATAGTGTGAAAAAAGCACAGGGAATTCAGGGATAAGTCTGTCCCCAACCACAGCTAGACAATGCTGCTACCCTAGGGAGAACTCAAGCTTTTTATCTTTTTTTTTTTTAACCGGGAATCGAACTCAGGATCTTGCACTTGCCAGGCAGGCGCTTATGCTGCTGAGCTATATCCCTAGCCCAAGGTTTTTATCTTGAAGGTAAACAGTTTGTAGGACACAGGACAGAAAAAAAAGACAAGGCAGATGAGGGAGAAAGAATAAAGTAAAACTAACATGAACTCTTATTGTTTTCCTCAGAAGGGCCCCACAGAAGGCTTCCTGGTACAGTGGCCAGTGTGCGCGACCCCGGATACCTGCTGTCCTTGCCCTGCCGAGGTGTCAACAGCCCCAGCAAGAGCAGCGAAGGGCAGCGAACGGGCAGTGTCCCGGGTAGGAAGGCAGCCCTGCCTGGGGAGCCAGCGCCCCACGCGATCGCGTTCGCAGTTCCTGCTGGTGAACTCCATGCTGTTACTCATCAAAGATCTATTTCTGACAAGATTTTTCCTGGTGTCCTTTGCTTTGTGATTCAAACTTGCCCTTATTTAAAAAGGTCATGCTTTTAACGAGGGGTGTTTTTAATGCAGTCATGTTTTTAACATGGTGAGACAGACATTACAGTTTATGGAAACTATTTTGGGTGTATCCTGCCAATCTTATCTTCTGTGCACGTGCCACAATTATATTACAGCAGTGATCAATTCCTACTGCAATTTTATGGAATGCTTATCTCCCTACCTAGAACGTGAGCTCAGAGAAGGCAGTGACGGGAACATACACCGTCTGAATGATACTCAACGAGAACTGTCTCTTTCAGCAGTGACTTTTAGAAACAGGGAGTTTAGCCGGGTGTGGTGGCGCATGCCTGTAATCCCAGCATTCGGGAGGCTGAGGCAGGAGGATTGTTGTGAGTTCCAGACCAGCCTGGGCTACAAAGTGAGCTCAAGGCCAGCCTGAACTGCATAGCGAGACCCTGTCTCAAAAAGACAATAAATAAATAAATAGACAGATAGACAGATAGATAGATAGAAATAGGGAGTTGAAACATAAGAAATATACTCTGAAAAAAGAAACTACTTACACTGTAAGAGAAAACCTAAGGTCTCCCCACAAAATATTGTCAAAACAAACTTTTACTTAATAAGAATCTGTAAAGTAACTTTAAAAAAGCCAACTATAGTATACACACTGAGATCTGAAATTCTGGTATCCAGCCCCGGCCTAACCAAGTGAGAGGCTGTTCCCACGCAGGAAAGGAGTAAACCTGAATTTCAGAGTGGCCTTGTGAACTTTTTTCTGCACAGGGTAACTAAGGCAGTTGTAATTTTAAGAACAACAGTAGGCAAGGTGGCGCACGCCTGTAATCCCAGCACTTGGGAGGCTGAGGCAGGAAGATTGCTGCAAGTTTGAGACAGCCTGAACTACATAGTTCAGGGACAGCCGGAACTATACAGCAAGATCCTGTCTCAAAAACAACAACAACAACAAAAGGAACAGTTCTATATAAGGGGATGAAATTAAGGCCAGAATCCTGTGTTGAATATTAACTACTATAAACAACTATGAAAACTTTCAGTCAGAACATGGCCATTTACTTGTGTGGAGCGTACCAGGTTACACTTTCTTTTCACAATGGATCTGAAAGGCCTACATTTCTTTTGCGTTTGCACAGGACCCACACAGCGGTTGTTCTCACACTCTTACCTAACAGCTCCTCTGCCCCCTTCCACAGGAAAGGCACACGTTCCTGCTTTTGAACCAGAAATCTGTATGCCAGTCTGCAAGCGAGGTCATGAAGAGATCAAACCAGGGAGCCTGCCTCACCACCCCAAGGGTTCTCACTGGGGACGAGCTAGAGTTCTGGTGACCAACTGGCTAAGCCCCTCTCGGACCCTGCTGGGCGTCCAGTGTGACCGGGCTGCTGACGCAACAGCAGGACCCACTGAGAGAGAGTGGGCAGCGCAGCCCCGGACGTGGGAACAGGTTGGCTGAGGGGGAAGCGAGCAGGGGTCGCAGCAGCTGCAGAAGGCAGGAGGTATCAACATAAGAACTAAACCAAACCTCAGTCAACAAACTCTTCCTCTGTGAACAAAGGCCAAAGCAAATGAAATTAAAAGTACCGTTTTGTTTATATTTAATATACCTTAGATGAATGTGATCATTATATATATAACCAAAATGTACTGACAAAATCTGATTGGAGAAAAAGATTTTTGCGTATGTCCAACATATCCAAATAAAAAGATTAATTAATGCACAAAAAACATGTAACATGCATTAGAGCTATACCATTAAAACGCTGTTAAGGAGTGACATGGATGTATTCAATACCCAGCACTGTGAAACAAAACAGAAAAATCAAAATTAAAACAATCAAAAGTGACACAGGAGCTTACACCTATAATCCCAGCTACTGGGGAGGCTGAGGCAGGGTTGTTTGAGCCAAGGTATTTGAGACTGGCCTAGGCAACACAGTAAGACATTGTCTCAAAAAAAACAAACCAAGACAAAACATGGTATAAAATTCTAAATGAGAACAAGGCCAAGCACCTGTTTAAGTACTCACATTATATTTGTGGAATATGTATTTCCAGGAATTAGGACAATCATGATTTCTACATGAAAAATACCTCTGGATCACAGAACATGTAAAACAGTGTTTTTTCCAAATACATTCAGTATTTGAAACTCATAATAAAAAAGCAAGTAGTTCAAACTATCTCCAAGGAAGAGATACAAATGGACAGTAAATGCATGAGAAGATGCTCGATATCGTAAAGTTGTCAGGAAGATGCAGATAAAAATCAGTGAGGACAGCTACAGTTAAAAGATGGATGCTGGGCGTGGTGGCGCACACCTGTAATCCCAGCACTCGAGAGGCTGAGGCAGGAGGATCGCTGTGAGTTGGAGGTGCACTGGGCCACAGTGAGTTCAACGCCAGCCTGAACTACACAGGGAGACCCTGTCTCAAACAAAAAATCAAAGAAACTGGAACCCTCATACATTGCTGGTAGGATTCTAGAAGCTCACTCTAAGGAGATGTCAGGCTACGTTATGGGAATTACAGATAAAAAATGTACCGATGGAGTCAAAGTAGTGCTGTGAGATACAGGTGCTGTACAGTCAATCTAGTGGTGAGCCAGCAATTTACAACTGGGGAATTGTATTTTGTAGAAATGTAAGTTCATGATATTATAAACACAACCTACTCAATCTTTGGGAAGAGCTCCTGACTTTATTATACAAATGCTACAAATTTCAATTTGGTGATGCAAGCACAGATTTGCTCAAATTCTGTAGCTCTCTCAACAAGCTCAGCTCTGCCCTTTGCTCAGGGGCAGCAAGGCCCGCGCGGGGGACGTACCTGTGATATAACTTTCTAAAGCCTTTGGCACCAGCGATTTAGCGAGCTTCAGGTCCTCCAGGGAGCACTTGCCGGACTCCAGGCCGAAGGACATGCCCATGCGCTTCAGCACTTCAATGTCATCGTGGATCTCAAAGGTGTTGTCAAAGTTAAAAAGATACTCAAACCTGCAGAGCAAAGCAAAGCAAAGACGAGGCGTTCAGTGGTACTGGAGACATCGGAATGGTTCTAGACCCTGCACTTTCAGAGAACGGATGCCTAACCTCAGCCACGGTACTAGACACTGTCACCACTCAGAGCACGGAGTCCCTCTGTTGTGTTCAGGGGAATGACCTTTCAGGTAATCCATTTCCAATTAAAACAGCTTTCCTGAGACAGACGGCAGAAGTCCACATGTTTTTGGTTTTGTTTTTGTTTTTGAGACAGAGTCTTACTGTCTTGTTCAGGCTGGCCTCAGACTTTATGATGTGGCCCAGGCTGACCTCGAACTGGCAGCGATCCTCCTGCCTCAGACTTTTGAGTGCTAGGATTACAGGCATGTACCACCATGCCCTGCTTAAATCCATGCATTTTAGTCCTAATGTTGTTGGCAAACAGGAGACAGAAGCTTTGTTCTAAACCCAAGGCTTTTCAAAGCTGTCTATAGTTTTGTCACAAAAGCAACTGTACTCTGGGAGGCTGAGGCAGGAGAAGTTCAAGCCAGACTGGGCAATTTAGCTTCCTAGTGAGACCATGTCTCAGGATCAAAAACACATAAAATGGCCAGGGATGTAGCTCAGTGGAAAGGCCCTGGGTTCAACCCCTGGTACAAAACAAAACAGAAGTCACTTTAGTTTGATGTGGTATCCACACTCTAGCTGGTTATTAGCTGTGAGGAAAACATATTTTGAAGGCTTACTTCATCTTCATGAGTCAAGTGTTCACTACAGAACACTTTAGCTAACCACAAACAGAAGATCTGTTTTGTTTTGTTTGTGATATGATCTGGCCTGCTATGCTGCCCAGGCTGTTCTCAAATTCCTGGGCCCGTGCGATCCTCCTACCTCAATCCCAAGTACCTGGGACTATAGGCACATACCAGTATGCCTGGGTTAAGTGAGAGACAACGAACTAAACCAACACTTCAATCCCCTCGTGAAAGACAAGTAGCAAAATGTTTTTAAGAAAAAGTGTTACGTGTAACACGTATGCAGCGCACTGCCACATGGTCTTAAGCGCCCGGTCTGGGCGCTCAGCTGCCCGACACAAGAACGGAGAAGACGCAGACCTCCGGGTCCCCTGCAGGGCCTGTGACGCCTTCATCATGGCCTTGGCTCTGAAGGGGCAGCTTTTACCTTGCTGCCAGGTGCAGCTTTTACCTTGCTGTGGAATCTCCATTAAATTCATGTGAGTGTGAAATGTTTTATAACAGGTATCTCAGGTCAGGGAAAAACTTCACAATTAAGCAAACTAAGATGTTTAAATATCCTAACGTATATGAATGAAGTACATCAGTAAGTTTTTAGGAAAAAAATCTGAAGTGCATTCTTCGCCAAAGAGATGATTTCACGCATGTGCTAAAAGCAGATGGCTTTGCAAACTTAACCCTCACTGTGGGAAAGTCTCCTAATTAAGGGGAGGACTGCATCTCCTAAGTAGCGGGCAGCAGGGACCGCGCAGCCACCTCTGGCAACGAGTGTGCAAGCTGCCCCACGCAGAGCAGCCGGGCAGGGCATGCGTCAGGGGCCACCCACGGCACAGCGCTCCACAGATTCTGGTCTGGGAAAACAGTGTCCGCAGTCCTCCAGGCCAACAGTTTCAGAGTTTCTTGATACCTGTTGTTGACTTTAAAGATTAGCCCTAGGAAACGAATTTTATAATCTCCCACATAAGTAAACTTTGCAGAGTAACTACAAGGTGAAGTTTTGGGGATACTTCCTAAACAGATGTTAATAGTTCCCTTAGATACAGGTTTCTGCAAAGAATTTGTAAGCTCATGAATAATAATTCAGACATGTAACATTTGCTGACCACTGCTCTGAATCCTGTATAAATTTATCTATGGTTTTTCTAAACTGGCAAGGTAAAATACTGTAATTCTTACTTTATTTTTTTGGTTTTTTGAGATGGTCTTGCTATGTAGTTCGGGCTGGCCTTGAACTCACTATGTAGTCCAGGCTGCCCACAAACTTGCAGTGATCCTCCTGACTCAGCCTCCCAAGTGCTGAGATTACAGGCATGTGCCATCATGCCTGGCTGTAATTCTTATTTCCTTTTTTGGTACCAGGAATCAAACTCACGACCTTGTACCTGCCAGGGGGGCTGAGCTATATCCCCGGCCCTGTAATCCTTGTTTTGTTTTGTTTTGTTTTGTTTTGTTTTTTTGAGACAGGGTCTCACTATGCAGTTCAGACTGGCCTTGAGCTCACTTTGTACCCAGACCAGACTGGTCTCGAACTTGCAACGATCCTCCTGCCTCAGCTTTCCAAGTGGTGGGATTACAGGCCTGCGCCACCACGCCAGGCTGTTTTTGATTCATTTTCGTTTTTTGGCGGCCCTGTAATTCTTATGTGTGTGGAGGAAGGAACAAGACCTCAGATGGCCAAAAAACTCGAAAAACAGATCTGGCTGACTTCACAGCTTCCGCAGTCTCTACTATTTATTAGTTTGTAAGTGTCAAATATTTTTGAAACTCCTCCTCACTGTGTTTCTCTCTTTTTCTCGTGTGTTCCGTGTGTGCACATGTGTATGCACATGCAGGTATCCTCTTTTTAAGAGACCCAGAGTCCTGGTGTGATAGAGCTGGACGGGGGAAGCAACGCTAGCAGAGAAGCTTCTGTCTCACGAGGCAGTCCTGGGCACGCCATGACACTGACATCATTCCTAACAGAGTCCTCTACTGCTGACTTCTTGTAGTAACAGCTGACATTTATAAAGTGCCTGCCTGGAGTCAGACCCTTCAGGAATCACCTCACTCAGTCCTTGCAAGGGTTGGGAAGACACAGAAGTCTCACAGTACTGGGCATGGCCTGAAGACCACTGGTTTTCATGAAAGGTAAAATAAATTTCAGAGGAATTATTTTCTCTTGCTATGATGACGACTAGCATCAATTTTTTTTTTTTTTTTTTCCCGGTACTGGGAACCGAACTCACGACCTTGCACTTGCCAGGCAGGCGCTTTGCCGCTGAGCTAAATCCCCAGCCCTAGCATCAATTTTAATTAAAACATAAAAAAACTGTAAAGACGAAAGGAAAATGCCTAGCACCTTCACGTCAATTCATTACTAAGGAAAAGCACACGTGACTATGATATATAGAACAGAGAAATGACGGTTTAATGCCACCTGTTGATCTAGTAATAAACTATGATAGTGATCACCAGTAACCTACCTTGTCCTAAACCCTCAGTGACGTCTAGCTTACTGCAGTTGCTCGCTCAAAATTAGCACACACGTGGCATCTCACACCATGGGTTATGACACACACATCACAGGCGGCAGAGTGCGTGGCACAGAACTGGGACTGGGCCAGGATCGGAGACAGCAGGTGAGTGATGGGGTCACACTAGCCCACGGCAGTGCCCGCTCCATGGAAGCCAGCCCGGAGGGCGCCATCTCTCTTACGCAGGTGATCTGAGCACTAAGGGAAGGGCAGGACGCCCTGACTCCGGCCCCTACTCACTTGTCACTGGAGATGCTGCAGTCTATAACTGTCTTTCTGCTGGTATTGATGATTATAAACGGCAGCTGAATGGTGGAGTTCAGCGCTGGAGGGCCCTGGTTTTGCTGTTCATTTTGTCGATTTCTCTGTACCAGGTTTTTGAAAGCAATTTGCTGTAATGTTCAACAAAAAGAAAATGGTGATTTAACGTAGATAAGTGAGTTGGAATTTAAATGAATATATTTAAATATAGTTTAAAATTAGAGAATTTAAAAGGGCAGTCCACTTACACTACTGCACAAAAATTACGCACTTTAGAAAAAAGATAAATACATTTCAAGGGGAGAAACATACACACACATGATACTGATCATGATCCTCATGTAAATAATGGGGCCCCTGGTTTTCATCACCCACAGAAACGGGATCTCACAGATCTGAGGGGTCCAGCGACACAGAGAGTGACAGCAACACCAAGTGCGCGTGCCCAACTGCTTCCAAAGAGTTTAGGGTCAAACATAACCTTTTTTTGTTGGTTGGAGACAGGGTCTTGCTATGCATGCAGGCTGGTCTGGAACTCACAGGGATCCTCCTGCCTCAAGATCCAAATAAAGTGACCTTTTACAATACTGGCTCTTTTTCAATAAGGAAAATGTATTATAAAATTTCACAGCTGGGAGGACCGTATGTAGTGCACTTTTTTTATGTGCTCATGAAACACAATGGTTTTAGAAAAACTTGAACTTAGAACCATTCATTCCTTTTATTAGCTTGTTGTATCTTCTCACCCAGTAGTGAGATTTCAGGTTATTTTCAACTGTTATGCCCAGGTGTGTTTATTTCAGGTTCTGGGCCGTAACTAACGTTGCATTAAGAATGCTATTATCTCAGTCGGGCCTGGTGACAGGTGCCTGTAAGCCCAGCGCTCTGGGATGGTAAGGTCGGAGCATCATAAATTCAAGCCCAGTATTGGAAAAAAAAATTCTAATCTTAAAATGGCTGCACACTATCTCCCTAAAAAGTGAACATTTACTCTTAAAATCAATAAAACACAATCGGCTCAAATTTATTCTGGCCCTAATGGCGCAGCCAAAAATCCACTATCAATACTATCAATATCGGTCACTATAACACAACAGAGAACTGCTCTGCCATAAAGACAAACCTGAGTCATCTGCAGGCTGCACCTTAGACCATAAAGTGAAATCAATCAGACACACAAGCATAAATATCCTGTGGTTTCTCTTACACAAGAGCCCAAATTGTAAATAAAGAGCAAAATATAAGAAAAGGGGGTTTGGGCCAGGGATATAGCTCAGCGGCACACACGCCTGCCTGGCAAGCTCATGGTCCTGAATTCGATTCCTGGTACCAAAAAAAAAAAAAAAAAGAAAAAAAAGATGTGTTATGTGCATGGACCACCTCCACGCAAGGAATGAAACATGTACGGCAAATGTGTACTGAAAACCACGTCAGTACCAAACACTCCCTAATGATTGACACTTTTATTTTTATTACACTTCTCTATTATTTTGTTTCCAAATTCAAATTGGCTTATACTTATTGCTTAATTCACTTACTCGTGCGGGCAAGGTGTGTTTAAGCCCCGGAACTGGGAGAAAGCAAGCGAGCACTTCTGCCCAGCTTCTCTCCCCTCTGCGGGAGTGCACATCCGGGGGGCTCTTCCCATCCTTGCCTGGCTTCGTGGCCCCAGAGCAGTGAGAGCGAACCTTTTGGACACCCCAAACCGCAACCCAAACCCATTTACTGATTGCGAAGTGCCAAAGCTGCAACTAAAGCTGAGTATCTGCTGCTCAGCTCCTGGGGCGACTTGGCTCGTGTGCCGACAGGGAGGGGCCTTCCTGCTCGCTGCAGCTCGAGTGGCACAGGCTTGCCGACACCGCCCTACAGGCATGGTAGGATGTGAACAGTGGCAAGGGAAATTCCATACAGATGCAATAATACTAACACTAATATATGTATTTGGTCTTAGAGATGGATGCTGAGACTTTCCACTGAGCTACACCCCCTGCCCGTACGGGGCTTGAACCTGTTCCTCTGGCCTTACCCTCCTAGAGGGCTGGATTACAGACATGCACCTCCACTCCTGGCTCCAGGTCCTTACAGGTAATGTACTGTGTAAGACTGTGTATATTTAATAGCACCAAAGGCTTTTCAGACGAAGAGAGCACTAAAAACAAATTATTTTGTCTTTTGTGGTGATGATGCTGGAGCCCAGGTATCACACATGGTAGACACACACTCTACAATTGAGCTCCACAGTACGTCCCTCCAATGCATTTTTCTGTTGTTTTTTAAGACAGGATCGCACTAGCAGTTCAGGCTGGCCTTGAACTCACTATGCAGCCCAAGATGGCCTCAAACTTGCAATGATCTTCCTGCCTCAGCCTCCTGAGGAGTGGAAGTAGAGGCATGCACCACCACATTCAGACTGTTTTACTGACTGACTGACTGAGACTGGGTCTCACTATGTAGCCCAGGCTGGCCTTGAACTGACAGCGATCTTACTGTCAGCCTCCTGAGTGCTGGGACTGCAGGCATGCACTACCACACCTAGCCTCAGCCGTTATTTTAATAGCAAAAAGAAAAATCACCTCCCAATTTCACTGGAATAATTTGTTGCCCTTTGATTAACTTCCTTTACCTTCTCCTCTTTCAGACTCATTAACATTGATTTCAGAGGCTAACTAGCTTCAGCCATGTTCAGTTCTGGAAAAGATTCAAGGTCTGGGAGGAACAAAATAGGGCATGTAGCTTGTCTATAGGTACAGTTTATGTAAACTACTCCTCTTTGCCCGCGTTATGAAGGATAAAAGGGAGGCAGTGGCATACAGGTAGTAGATTCCTCTGTCACGTGACATTCGTGAGTTAGGAATTTACTTAAAAAATCGAATTAGCTTAGCTACAGCAAATAATTAGTGTTCAGGAACAACTAGTTAATTTTATTTTCTATGACAACTTCATGAACACTTCCCACTTCCCACACTGGGGATGGATGCCAGAGGCGCTCTACAACCAAGGTACACCCCCGGCCCTTTTTATTTTTCATTTTGAGAAGGGATCTCCTAAGCTGTTCAGGCTAGTCTCAAATTTGGGACATTCCTGCCTCAGGCTCCTAAGTAGCTGGAGCTATTGACGTGTGCCACCAGGCCCAGCTACGACGTACAACTTTATAAATCTACTTGATCAAAGGAAGAAAAACGAGATATCAGAAGGAAATAAGCTGTGTGTCTGTGAGAAGTTGTTGCTTTCAGTAACACTTCTCGTTTCAGCTTAGTGTTTGGAGCAAGCTGTCTCTACGTTTGGGGACAGGTTGTTTCCAAGTTGAAATTCACAAACACAGTATTTGGCTTGAGGGGCAGCAGAAGAAATTTAGGATTTAAACAGAAGTACAATCTTCCCTACACAACCAGAGAAAAAATATTCAACTTCATTCTTTGTGCTGCTCACCTAGGGATGTGAAAGTCCTGCTTGCACGAGAGCAAGCTTGCCCAGACCATTCTCTCTGATACACAAACAGATCATTACAGGCATGCTGATGAACAGGGAGCTTAAAGAAAAGGATGGCAAAAAGCACCCCACACTCCAGAATGCTCCATGACGGTCTGAGGAGCTACCAAGGAAACCCTAACACAGGATTGAGAGCCTCGGGCTGGGTGGGGGATGCTGCAGCTTGCTGTGCAGGGTTAAGGGCAACACAGGGGCAGCCAGGGAATAAGAGGGCAGCGGGAGAGTTGAAGGAGGAGCCCCAGCAGAATTCCAGATGGTAGCACAGCAATGAACTCGGCTCTCAACTTTTTTCCTAAAGCAGCAGAATACTCTCTTCTTTCTTTTTGAAACAGGGCCTCGCTATGTAGTTCAGGCTGGCCTTGTGCTCACTTTGTGGCCCAGGTTGGGCTTGAAATCAAAATGATCCTCCTGCCTCAGCCTCCTGAGTGTTGGGATTACAGGTGTGTACCACCAGGCCCGACAGAATACTCTCTTCTAAGCAGTTAACAAAACCTTACCAGGAAAAAAAGTGCGTGCTCTCCGAGGCTCAGTCTGAGAGCCAGGCACAGAGTGCAGGAGGAAAAAAGCCACTGCTCGGGAGGCTCCTGTGTTTGCAGTGCCTGCCTCCCTCCCTCTTTCTTCTTGCAGAGCATCCCCAGGCTCCTAGAAAACTGAGTATCTCCTACTCTCTGATTTGTACATGAAGGTGAAAAAACAAAACCCCAAAGAAAATACAAGCATCTTGCCAGGCGTGGTGGCACATGCCTGTAATCCCAGCACCTGGGAGGCTGAGGCAGGAGGCTCATTTCGAGTTTGAGACCAGCCTGGGCTACAAAGTGAGCTCAAGGCCAGCCTGAACTGCATAGTGAGACGCTCTCTCAAAAAGACAAAAAAAAGCCAGGGATGTAGCTCAGTGGTGCAAGTGCCTGCCTGGCAAGTGCGAGGCCGTGAGTTTGATTCCTGGTACCAAAAGAAAAAAAAAAGAAAGAAAACACAATCATCTAGAAAGTGAGAAACAATTACCCATGACATTTGACACTTAAGAACACAACATATTCTGACCACTGGACAAAGTAAGTATTGAAAAAATAAAGCTGGTAGGGTATCTGCTAATGTTTTGGTACCTTTGGTTCTGAAAAGCATATTGCATCAAAAATTAAATAGGAACTACAGTTATTCAAATCAAATATGTGTCTGACGGTAAATGTCTTCATATAAAGACATCTTCCTGAGAAAGCAGAAGGATAAAGTCTTTCTAGCTCATCACACAAAGTCTGTGTGTTTAGACTGAAAATGGCCAAACTGTACTTGCTGCTGGAAATAAATTTTTATACCAACTGCAATTAAAACTACAACAAAAAAACCTGTCTACCTTGTGATTTACCCTTGTATGAGTTTATTCAAAGGTTCTATAATACTTCTGAAAAGTTACCCAAGTTGTAAGCAATTATCCCAAAAAGTATAAACAGAGATTTTTTAGAAAAATTTTTTTGGGCAGGGGATTTAGCTCAGCGGCAGAGCGCCTGCCTGGCAAGCTTGAGGTCGTGAGTTTAATTCCTGGTACCGGGGGAAAAAAAATTTTTTTTTTTTGGTACTGGGACTCGAACTCAGGACCAGAGAGATTTTTTTAAACTACAAAATTCCTTTCTTTTTCTTCTTTTCTCTTGGTGGTACTGGGGACTGAACTCAGGGCCTTCCCACTGAGCTACACACCCTCAGTCCTTCTACAGTAATTTCTCCCCAGGCTGACGAACTGATCAGGCCGGGCTCGGACCTGCGATCCTCCTACCTCAGGTTACAGGCACGCACCCTGCGTAGCCTGCTCTCTTCCCTCCCTCCCTCCCTTCTGTGCTAGGGGTCAGTGTGCAATTCACTTCTGTTAAGCAGAAATGCATTTTACGTTTACGTATTTCTATGAAGCTTATCCAGTCATTCTGTCGTTCACTGATTACAGATGGATTTGATTATTTTACTTCAAGCACCTAAAAGTTACCTAGCACTGCAGATATTCTAAGGATGAAACAGGAGGCTCTGACGGGTTATGTTTGGAGTACGGCTGACACCGAAAGGGACCTGGAGGAGGACCTACGGCAATGGCTAAGGCTGGGACAGGCTCCTGATTACAAAACACACCGACCTTCAAAGCAAGTGAGGAAGAAAAATACAGGCACGGAAGGTAAGGGACAGCACGCGGCATTTACCTGTAGGAGAAGTTCTTGCAGCTGGGCCCGCTTCTGCTTTATCCGTTCTATCCGCCTCTGCTTCTCTATCTTTAAAATATAAGTTATAACATAATACAAAGCACCACTCCATTTTCAGACACTTATTCTAAGATATCAAGAATTTTCCTTAGAGAAACTCAATCTACTTTGACAGCTGGATAAAGCAACCCCCCCCCCATTTGAGGGGAAGGGCTGGGGTAGGGAAGCAGGCACAACAGAACCGGGGCCACAGTCCTCGCGGAAGAAACCCACCCACTGAACCAACAGGCACGAGTGCGCAACGACACTGCAGGGACGGCTAGAGATGAGGCGGGGCTGAAAAATAGGGTGGATACTTAAAACTAAAAAAAAAACTGATCCCAGTGAAAGACACGGGGACAAGAACTCCCATCAAAATCCTCCCCTTGCTTCAAACACACTTGTCCCCCCACTGCCGCCCTTCTCCGAAGCAGTTCCGGAGGTGCTCTCTTCTGGCTTTATTTGCGCTGTTGTGGCTGCCTTGATATTCTGAATCGATTTAAAACGTTCACGTTTCATGGTCCTTTTGACTTTGGGGAGAAGCCAGACCCAGTGACTACACTAGAGGAGGGCCCGCCGTGCTGGCTGGCACTCAGCAACAACATTCACGGGATTTCTGATCACATCTCTTAAAGACACTCACGGAGGGGGGCTGGGGTTTAGCTCAGCAGCACAGCGCCTGCCTGGCAAACACAAGGTCATTGAGTTCGATTCCTGATACTGGAAAAAAACCAAAACCAAAACCAAAAAAAAAAAAAAAGACACTCACGGAAGAGGACTTACAGAACCGCTTCAGAAATGGCTAAGAATGATGAGATGGTTGAGTTCAGACGGGACAATGACGTTCCCAGTGAGGACAGTACCTTGTCTTTTGCTGTAATAAATTTCTAAGTATCCACCCTGTACTTTGATTACCCTGTGTATGAAGGCGGTCCTGTAAGAGTGTAACGGACCTAGAATCTCCTATTTCATAGTGACACCAGCACGAAGCGTCACCCATGTGTTTGTGGTGCCTCTGGTGTAAACGAAGTCAACTTCCCTGCGAGTCGCATGAAAGAGCACATACGATTATGTACAGTACATAGTGCTTGACCATAAATTACTACCTTGGCGGCTTATGTACCCACTCTACTTTTTTTTCCTTTTTGGTACCGGGAATCAAACTCAGGACCTTGTACTTGCCAGGCAGGTGCTTATGCCACTGAGCTATATCCCCGGCCCTTCACTCTACTTTTTAATCATTATTTTAGACTATGAGCCTCCTTATAAAAAAGTATGCCATGTCATGCTGGCAGCGGCCTCACACAGCCTAAGAGGCCAGTCTGAGTCACGAGCCCACGCCATTCGGGTTTCCTAAGTCTGTCTTAGGATGCTTACACAACACAACAATGAAATCAGCCAGGCACGCGTTTGTAGGGAATGTATTTCCCATGGCTAAGTGATAGTGACTACACTTGGTGTGCAACACTTGGCGCTATTATTATTATTATTATTATTATTATTATTATTATGTCTTTTTTGGGTGAAGTCTTTTTGAGACAGGGTCTCGCTATGCAGTTCAGGCTGGCCTTGAGCTCACTTTGTAGCCCAGGCTGGTCTTGAACTCACAACGATCCTCCTGCTTCAACCTCCTGAGTGCTGGGATTACAGGCATGCACAACCACACCTGGCCTATTTCTTATCAAAGTCAATAGAAGCATTTAATTTATACTTATTCTATGTTCCAGCACTCAACTAAGCATTTTATATACATTCTCCTAATTAATCTTGACGAACAGCTAATGATTTTGGGTAAGGTTTTTTTTTGAGACAGGGTCTTGCTATAAATCAGATTGTCCTTGAGCTTACTAGCTCAGGCTGGCCTTGAATTCCGTGATCCTCCCGAGTGCTAGCATTACAGGCATAAACTACCACACCTGGCAAAGTTTTCAGTTTAATGAATAAAGCTGCTAAGAGAGATTCCTTGCTGTTTAAAGTGCACTTTCCACTTATAGTAAGAAAGAGCTTGTGGGGCAGATCTCCTGGCTTTGAACTGCTATTTTTCTCACTCTCACAACTGGCTACACAGTTGTGATCACAGATATTAAGCTCTGAATTTCCTTGCACTTGAGTTTCTCACTGTCTTCTTGTACAGGAGACTGCTGGTTTGGACCGAGCTGCATCTGGCCCAACACCAAATCAAAATGGAGCTCAGGTGCTTAGTTTCGGGCCACAACTATGTTGCTTGTCTCATCTCTCAAGAAAGCTAGAGAGAGAACATCTAAGTCCCCAACAGGCCAGCTGAAGGCAGTCTCCCTTTGTTTTCATCTTTACGAGGAAGTAACTTTATTATTATTATTATTATTATTATTATTGTCTTTTTTTTTTTGAGACAGGGTCTTGCTGTGCAGTTCAGGCTGGCCTTGAGCTCACTACATAGCCCAGACTGGTCTTGAACTCGCAACGATCCTCCTGCCTCAGCCTTCTGAGCGCTGGGAGACAACTCACTTTTTGTTTTCTTTCTTCAGTCTTTTTTCCTGCTTATAAAAAGCAATCTCTTTTGCCCAGAATACTCATTCTGTTATACTTCCAATAAAGTGTTGCCCTATCCTGAAGTCAAGAATAAAGGCAATTAAGATATTTAAAGTTGTCTTTTCGTCTTTTGATTATTTCCTACTTGCTCCTTATCTACTCAGGTCTGCACTCCAATTCCCACTCAGCCCCTCTGACCACCGTCTTCACACTTTAACCCTCAGTTACTTGCAATGAACCCACACATCAGAGCGGCCTCTGCACCGGCAAAGACGCTGTCGCACCGATTCTCTCCCCAGCCCACCTGCAAACCTGGCCGCCACACTTCACCCAGCCCACGCTGCCCCACGTCCATCCTGTACCTGTTAGTTGCTTCTGCCTGCAAGGGCCGCCCTCCCTTACCCCTTGGCGAACTCCTACTCCTCCCTCAGGACTACCTGCAGGTTTATTTCCATGGTAGAGACGTCCCTTGTCTCTCTTCCTAGAGAATCTACACACGCTTCTTTCACAGCTACAATCACATCTTTCTCTCTTTTCCAGGGCTGGAGGTGGAACCCAGGGCCTCATGCATGCTAAGTAAGCACTCATCCACTGACCTACATCCCCAGGCCACAGTGATCACAGATTTCTGGAAACTCTCTTACATCTTTCCTCTCCCTAGTTAGAATGAGGTCTTCATTTTAGGGTCAAGTTTGTCTTGTTTAACCTATGATTAATTAAGCACACGGTAGATGTTATAGATTTTTGCTTAGTGAGCTTTTAGTATCAGTTTAATATTACTGATAATATAGTTAATATGATATAATATTACTGATAATATAGTTACTATAATATAGTTTAAATGATGCCCAAATAAATTCTACTGTCAGGTGGAAGAAAATGACAATGGGAAGACATTTCCCTCTTAGCATATGATAACATTAATTGTGCAACCTCTGATGAACGAATGCTTTCTCCAGCTGTTCACAGGTATGAAATACCAAATAATCATTTATTTGCCGGGAGGAAGAAAGGACTGACAAAAACATAAAATCAACCTTAATTCTCCAAACGCTGTAATTAATCCTTGGTTTACTCCATTTATGGCCACGAAAGTAAAATTACATCATACCAATTCAGCAACAAAAGTCAGGGAACATGCTTATTCGGAAAGGATTTTCCACAGGGTTTAAAGTAAACAGAATTCAAAGTGTTTCACACATGATTCCAGATTGATGTAGGCTGAACATTCCACCCATTCTGACAGACACAACTGAGACGCCATTCTGTTGGCACTGACTCTAGACTCTACGTTTAACTCTCATAGTTACATGCAGAATACTGACTAACCAACCTAGGAAACAGCCAGCTTGACCTACACGGCTTCGCTGTGCATCAGAACATTGACTAGAATAAGATATTTCTATTACACTATTTGCCAAAAGTGTATTACACAAGTGCTCAGAATTAAGTGGAGTGAAATGAGTATCTAAGAAACAGCAAAAATCAAATTTAGTCATTACATCGTTTATAAAATTAACTGCACTGCACCTCCATAGTTGCCCCAAGTCTTAAAACTCTACGTTGTTGAAAGAAAATGTCAACACATATGAATAAACTGGGAGTATTTTAGTGTTATATGAATACTGGTATATTTCTAAACCAAAACGCTTCTGAAGTAAAGTAACGCAAACTACCACCCAAACTCTGACACCCTCACCTACCTCCAGGGTCTGACACTCCTGAGCGGAATTGGTAGGCAGACCAATCCATTTGATTTCTTTTTTTTCCTTTGAAATTATGTTCATTGCCATTAGCACATTTAAGGCATCATAAACTCTTCGCCTAATGTTCTTCTGATCATAAGCCTGCTGAAAAAGATTTTTATTGAGTGATCAATTTTAAGGATTAAGATAGGCATATATTAATTATTAAGTTAATAATGTTATAATATCTTCAAAGTACTGAAAGGATTTTATGTTCAACAAAAATATCCTTCAAAATTAAAGATGAAATAAAGACACTTTAAACAATACAAAACATAAAATAATCTTAGAAATAAAAATTATGTACCATCAGATCTACATTAAAAAGTACTAAAAGGACTTCTTCAGGTAGAGGAAAGAACATTTAAAATGGGAGCCTAGAGATGTAGGATAGAATGAAGAACAACTCAAAAGATAAAAATCACTGCGTGTGATGACGCATGCTTGTAATCCCAGCACTCAGGAGGCTGAGGCAGGGGGATTACTGGGAGTTCAAGGCCAACCTGGGCTACACAGTAAGTTCAAGTCCAACCAGCACTACACAGCGAGAACCTGGTCTCATAAACCAAAAGAACAAAACCAAAAACAAATGGTAAACATGTGGATAAACCTCAACTAATACTATATTTTACAAATGTCTTTCTTGCAGAATACAGACTATACACAAAACTAACATATGACAGTCAGAGTACTCATACATCTGTTATCATCTCAGAGAGGAGGAACGGCGGTATTCTAAGGCTTGGATTGTCTGGATTTGAGACTTAAAAAAAATCAAGAACACATACTTTTAAGTTCTAGGTAAAACTGTGCTTCTTAAAATGTGGCCCATGAACCAATTCTCACGGCTAATAGTTTTCAGTTCTCAGTGGACTAGGAACCCGCACCAAAACATAGTGACTGTGTCACCAAGCACCCGGTTTCACTCAGCTGCACCCCCGTTCCCTCCCTCCTTCCCGCTCCTTCTTTTTTTTTGTACCAAGACTTTTTCAATGAAGGAAACTGCGATGACTTAGATGGCAGAACAAGTTCTTTTATTTACCATGGACAAGGCGTCCCTAAGAGCAAAACCCAGTTAGTTAAATGTGCTGGTTCAGGATGGCGGAAGCCAAGCTCGGTGGGAAGAGCCTGTAAGCCCAGCTACGAGGAGGCCTGGACAGGAACGCTGGCAAATTCAAGGCAAGCCGGGGCAACTCAGCAAGACTCTGCCTCAAAATAAAGGGCTAAACCACGCCTGGGGCACATGTCTAACCGCAGTTCTCTGTGGGGCTGAGGCAGGAGGATCGCAAGTTCTTGCCTACCTTGAACAACACCGTGATTCAGCAAGACCATACCTCAAAATAAAAAATGAAAGAAAGGGCTGGGAATATAGCTTAGTGGGAAAGCCCTGGGTTCAATACTCAGCACAAAAAAAAAAAAGGGTGGGGGCTGGTTGGACGTGGTAGTATGACCATAATCCCATACTCTAGGAGGCTGAGGCAGGACAATTACATGCTTCAGCCAGGCTGGAGAACTTAGGGAGAATAAACAAGGGCTGGTGACATAGCTCAGTGCAAAGGTCCTGGGTTCAACCCCTAGTACTGGGGAGCAAGTGGTATGGAACACAGACTCCATCTAAATATAAAACTAAACCTAAATAAGTGGGGAATTTAAATTACAGAAATGAATGTATATATTAGAAATCCTGCCACTGCAGAAACAGAGAAAATGTAACAACAAATAACAAGGGACAGTCAGGTAGTGATGCTGATGCTTTCTTTTCCTTTTGATACTGGAAGGGACACAAATTCTCTACATGAATGTGATCGTTATGTATATCCAAAATGTACCAATAAAATCTAACGAAAAAACAAAAAATAAAGCAGATTAAGTAATGTAGTAATAAGGCTTTTCCGCGCAATGCAATCTATTTAAAGGCATAAGACAAAAAAAATAAAGCATAAGACAACTCTAACAGTGTTACTATTCTTTTAACAATTAGTACTAAGATAACCAACATGAATGCTGCAGTTGGGCTGGGGTACAGCTCAGTGGCACAAGCGCCTGCCTGGCTAGTGCAAGGTCCTGAGTTCGATCCCCAGTACTAAAAAAAAAAAGAATGCTGTGGTAGAGGAGAAAGGTAGAAGAAGTGAATAAATGTAAGTACACTAATGTCCTTATTTTCCATGACAAATAGATGTCTACAGGTGATAAGAAACAACACACACAGTGTGATACCTAACTAAAGCTATCGAGATAACCAAGTAAAGATCTCAGACTGTAAGCCTTCCAAATCATAGGAAAAATAACAGCAGTGAACAGACAGGAAAAAAAGACTGTTTATCCCCTAGGGCTGCTGGGAGAGGACAGTAACTATGATGTCAGACACTGGAAAGAGCTAAGAGAAATGCCTCACTGTAGTGACATCCGAGTGAAGGGAAGCCATTCGGATACTTGGCAAAGAGTGTTTCAGGCAAAGGGACCAGCAAGGTGACGGCCTGGCCGGGGACCCATCTTGACACACACACTGCGCTTGCACCAAGCACCCGGACAGCGCACGGGAAGAGAGCTCAGCGAGGTGGGGGGCGAGATCACACAGGGGCTGCAGCTCATGCAAGCACTTTGGCTTCCACTCAGAATCAGGATGCTGTACACTTTTCAGGGCCTCAGAGAACATTAAAGGAAACAAAACACAACAGAGAAAACCCATCGCATGATGGCTCACAAGGAAACCTCAATGCAGTCCAAAACAGAAATAGCCTAACTCACATTCTTTGGTTAATAAAAGTAAACAATATATAGCAACAAACAACAATAACACCTGGAACTATAAGAATGCTTTTTTTTTTTTTTTAGCTTCTCGAGACAAGGTTTTGCTGTGTAGTCCAGGCTGGCCTTTAACTCACTCTGTAGCCCTAGGCTGGCCTCAAACTCGCAGTGATCCTCCTGCCTCAGCCTTCCAAGTGCTGGGATTACAGGGGTGCGCCACCACCCCTGGTGGGAATGCTTTCTCACATAGTTGGTTCTTAGGTCAAACAGGAATTAAAACTAAAGTTACAGAATATCTAAAATAATATATCACAATTGATAGTAAAGGGATAGATCAGTGCTCAAGAGGCAAAGTCATACTCATAAAGACTTTCATGACTAAACAAAAATAAAAGTGCATAAAGTAAGCTAGGTATGGTAGCACACAGCCGTGATCCCAGCACTTGGAAAGCAGCTGTGCTCACTACTATACCACCAGTGCGATCCCAGCACTTGGGAGGCTGAGGCAGGAGGATCCCTGTAAGTTCAAGGCTAGCCTGGACTACACAGTGAGACCCTGTCTCAAAAGACAAAACAAGACAAAAACAAAGCAAGGACTGAGCAGGTAGCTCAGTGGTAGAATGCTTCCCTAGCAAACATGAGGCCTTGATCACTTTGTATGTAAAATAAAACAGAATAAATTTTATTGTGCATATGCATAAGGAATTTCTAGAATTATATTCAAGAAATTAGTAAATGAATATTACCCATGAGAAGCAGACGGGGAACTGGAAAAGGGAGATATTTTTAAATTATATGCTATTTTGCACAACTGGATTTTTTTTTTTTTAACAACTTTTCCAATGAAAAGTAAGATTTTCTTGTTAACTTCAGACAACGAATAAAAGGTAAGGTTCAGAAAGTACATGGAGTCACTGTAAGTGACTGAATATATATTTACAAAAGATGCTCCTTCAGTAAACCCCCAAATTATTCTTTTAAAAAATTTTTAAAAGAGAATAAAAAATAATAAAAAAAAATTAGAAACAATATCGAGTTTCACTAAACAAGATGATAGGAACTGAACAATGGTTGTTATACTTACTGCACACCATTGTCTTCAAGTTAGTTCCCCAAATAGTTCTGAGACAGGGTCTTGCTATGTAGCTCAGGCTGTTCTTCAACTCATTAGGTAGCCTGGGCTGCCCTTAACTTGTGGCAATCCTCTTGCCTCAGCCTCCCAAGGGTTGGGATTACAGGTGTGTGTGCACCACCATGCTTAGCTCCAAAATTATTTTTTAAAGGTATCTTTGTTTTTATAAATAATAAAATAATTTTTTACCAATCACAACAAAAAAGAAATAAAAAATCCCGAACATATAATTTACAACATCAAGTAAAGGGCTCCTAGCTTACCTGATTCCTCAAATCTACGCCACAAACAACCCTGAGGGATGAGCAGCAGCATCACTCATCACACTCTATGCCAGGCTCATGATCTACCTACCGAGTCCGCAGCCAAGTGATTATTTGAATTGGTGAACTCCGACACCAGCTCATCAGCTACTTCATTATACGACGTTGTGCCTTTCCGCTGAACCTTTTCACACACTTTCATTGAAAAATGTCTCAAGCCTTTTCCATTTTTATCACCTTTTTTGCTTCGTTTACTAGAAGAGAAAAAAATTTTATGAAAAAAAGTATCTGCTATTTATCAGACTTCCTTTACAAAACTGTAAGGAAAAATGCAAGTTTTTGCCTCAAGGGGTAAAAATTTAAATTGAATACGAAAAAGAAAATGTTTTCAAATTAATTTTTGTCTTAAGAGGCTAATAAAGTGCCTTCTATAAACATCATTCATTTATTTAGCAAACTTTTACTGATGAGCTACTGTTATATTCCAGACCTTATTACACCCAGCAAAAATAAATCAGCAAAAGTGACAAAACCCCTGACCTTCTATAGCTAGAATACTGAAAACATTTTCATTTAATACTTACCTTTTGTTTACTATGTGCATTATGTACACTAGTATTTTTCCCCAAAATTAAAGTACTAGGATTCTCAATTTATATATCTCCTTTTTTTTTTTTTTTGGTGGGCCAGGGATTGAACCCCGGGTCTCCACGAATGTTAAGCATACTATACCATGGATCTACACCCCTAATTTGTAACCATTTTTGGGGAGGTGGTAATGGGGAATAAACTAAAGGTCTTCACCTGGAGCTGCATCCTCAGCCCACGTTTTATTTTGAGACACAGTCTTACTATCTAAAATGTCCAGGCTGGGTTTGAACTTGCAATCCTCCTGCTCTGCCTCCAAGAAGGCTGGCACTACAGGTGTGCGCTATCATGGCCTACTCCGTTTTTAACTGAAGATCACTGGTATTAACATTGGATGTAAGTCTTTAGCTAAGTCTGGTTAATCCCAAAGCCTAAACGTTGATAACTTAATCATTAATAGGATGTTTCAGTGTAGTTCCACTAATATATGAGCCTCAGTTATATGCTAAGAACTGTGTGAGGCACCAGAAGTACAAAGACTCAGGTAAAATTCTTTCCCTCAGTATGGATCTTGGAAGATTAACAGAGACAGACAGACAGACACACGATGACAAATAATTCCAATAATAAAGTAAGTGCCATGTCAGAATTATTCAGTGTCCCGTGTAAAGTACAAAGAGGAACATCGAATCTAATCCATGGGCAGATGATCTGTTGGAAGGAAGGTGGAATGGTTACCAGGCAAGAGAACCAACAGCAGCAAGGCAGCCATACAGACAGGCAGAACAGGTCAAATACACAAAAGAGCAGGGTTACCCAACATAAAACGCGAGGCAAACAAGGAGGGAGAAAGGTAAGAGGACAGGCTCTCACGTGCCGCACAAGGGAACCTGGGCTTCATCTTACAACATCCCATCAGCAAGGTGGCATTTATTGACAAACTACATGTTCTACTGTGGTGTTTACATCAAGAAAAAAGACACACTGAGCATGCACTTTTCTAACGCATGAGATGAGGAAGGGACATCTACTTTCTTTTCCCTGCATTCCCAAACACCATCGATGTACTCCCTGTGGAACAGGGAGTTCACAACAGACTGTTCTTCAACGTGGGGAAACCACTAAGTGATTTAAATGTGTGTGTGGGAGGGCACATAAGATTCTCAAACTCTTGCTGCAAAGGAGATTAATTTACAGAGGGCAAAAAAACAATGACAGAAAGACAAGCTGGGAGGTTATTCTAAGAGCCCAGGCAAGAAATGATGAGTCCTAAAGTTGGGCAGTGGTAGGAGAGATGGGGTTGCAAAATGATGATTCCTAACTTTTATATTAATTACATGCTAAAATACATCCTTTTTACTTAATCCAATATCCTTAAATACTGTATTTACAGAATTAGTGTTTCATAGTTACTCATGGCTTTACTCTGCATTACATGTTCAAGTCTGAAATACTACTACTGGTATTACCACTGGTGTGATTATTGAAAACACTAGCTTCTTTTTTGTTTTTGCTTGGTTGGTTTTGGGTGCTGAGGTTAAACCAAGAACCTCATGCATGCTAAGCAAGAGGTCTACTGCTGAGCTACATCCCTAGCCACTGTTTCTTTTTTGTATGGGATCTCACCATTTTTTAAGTTTTTGTACCTAATCTACCTAAAGTGGTGAGCACACATTCATTTATAACTTTTTGCACACTCTTAGTCTTACATTCGCAGGTAAATGCAGTATTTAATACTCACTGGTCGAGCATGGTGGTGCACGCCTGTAATCCCAACACCCCAGAGGCTGAGGCAGGATTGTTGTGAGTTTGAGACCAGCCTGGGCTACAAAGTGAACTCAAGGCCAGCCTGAACTACTTGGCGAGATCCTGACTCAAAAAAAAAGGAGGGTGGACACAACTAAAGAGAAGATGGCGATGGGGCAAACATCAGAAAGAGCCTCTTAGAGATTTGGTGTCCAGATGCTGGAATATAGCAACGTGAGGAAGAGAAGGAAGAGACTTCAGCAAGGGTCTGAAGTGAGAACTGATGCCTGCAGGGAGAGTGAAAGGAGAAACCTCAATGCAGGAGGAGACGGCAAGCAGTGCTTTCTCCCTGAGCACGACTCACTGCATGGGAGGTGTGTGCTGAACCTGCAGAAGCATGGTGACTACTGACGACCTCACAGGCCTCCATGGAGAAATGCACAAGTAGAACATAGCAGTGGACACAGTGGATTTAGTGACTCGGGAGTTATTTGGGTTCAAATGCCCCCCAAGGAGAGGGCAACTGGCAGGTAGCCATCTTAAAGAGGGGCCAACCGAGTTTGGAACTCAGAGCAGCTGCAGGCTGGCTCCATCTAGAGGCTTCCTGTATCAGCGTGAGACAGAACCATGCTCAAATTGGCAGGATGTCAAGGAGCTGACTTCAAACTGGGAGGAGGCACACAGAGTGCTACAGGCTGAACAAATCAGGTTCCAGCCCTACAGCTAGAAACCAACCTGACCTTCAGTAAAATTAATGCGCAGGCTTCCTGGGATTATTCATTACCATGAGGTAAATCTACAGCTTGCTTGTTGGGATTAATCAACATGGATGTGGGCTCTGTCTGTCCACTCTAAGAGTGACAACAGAGATATGCGCCAAAGAGGGCATTTTCTTTTTTTCCTTATTTTTCTTTTCCTTTTGTTTTTCCTAAACTGTGTTCTTGTTTCTATGAGTATGACCATTGTTTCTAGGTTTTTCTTTTGTTGCTCTGTTTTGTTCTTGTTTTTATTTCTTCCTTTTCTTTCTCTCCTGTATTCTTCACCAGTTTCCCCAAGTTTGCGAAACCCTTTATTCGCCAGCCTTGCTTGTCATTTTTTTAGTCTGTTTGATGCTATTGCTATTGCTGATTATACTACTTTAGCCAAGGTGACGTAATTGCCCTAATCAGTTGTTCTTTCTGGTATGCCAAGACTGAGACTGCCTAAAGGTTATAAACTATATAGGCCAGAGCCAAAAAAATGAGGGGCTAGGACAAATAGGCAGCAACTTCTCACCCCCAATAAATTGAAGAGGTAGGCTCTTGCAACAAACTTGCAAAACCCAAAAGCCAGCTATACTTGGAAGACATCTCCTAGAAGTACTCATTTCTTAAGGGTTTTAAAGGCTAGAAATAGGGGGCTGGGGATTTAGCTCAGCGGCAAAGCGCCTGCCTTGCAAGCGCAAGGTCGTGAGTTCGGTTCCCAGTACCGGAGAAAAACCAAAAAAAAATAAATAAATAAAGGCTAGAAATAAAGCCACTGACATAAGCAATTTATAAGCATCAATGCAGGAGTTAAACTAAGACAAAAAAAAAAAAAAAAAAAGAAAATGAGAATACATGGAAGCAAGATGCAACCCCAGACATCCAGCTCACCAAAGGTGAACCCACGGGGCAATAAGGTAGAACAATTCGAAAGCCACCCAGCTGGACTCTCAAGTGGTAACAGTGGAAGTAACAAAGCAGACGAATGAAGCTCTAGAAAAAATAAAATCAGAAATAATTTCTCAGACAACTATAGAGATGGTGACCACAATGAAAGAAATGGTTAGTGACTCTAGAGCAGATGCAGATAAAAACAGAGGAGCTTAGGGAAATGATGGAAACCACAAACAGCCAACATAAGAAACAGGTGGAATCTATGAAAAAGATTCAGGCAGATACCCAGGATATTAAAAAGTCCATTGAAAGTGTATGCAGCAGAATGAGCCAATGTGAAGACAGAACACCAGATACAGAAGATAGGATTTTGTTTAATGATCATGAAAAGAAAGATTTCCTAAAAATAGCAAAGGACCACCAAAAAAAAAAAAAAAAATCAACCCAACATCTGCTAGATGATGCAAAGAATAATGTAAGATTGATCAAAGTCAATGAAAAAGCAGGAGAAAGTGAAAATGACATTAAAAAAAAAAACCTGATCACAGAAGTAATGGGAGAGAACTTCCCAAGCATGGGAAAAAGAACTGGACATACACATATGTGATGCATATAGAAATCCAATTAGCTATAATTTTAAAAAATTGACTCCAAGGTGTATAATATTTAAGATTCCAGAAATTCAACATAAGAACAGAATATTAAAAACTGTCAGAGCAAAAAACAAACCACCTATAAAGGAAAAAGCAATAGAATCACAGTAGACTTCTCACCACAAACCCTGCTTGGAGTGAAGTTTTTCAAGCCCTAAAAGAAAACAATCCTCAGCCCACATAGAT